TGATCTTGACAATCTTCACGAAGATCTTTTGATTGATTCCAATGATGAGTGCTTATCTCTAGATCATTAGTCTTCTTGGTTGGCCTCAAAATTGTGCAATATGAACCAAGAGAAAGCAAATTAGCTTTCATTCGTTTTTGGGAGTTTAGATAGTAACCTCGGGTTTTAATTCGTGGTGTAGCATCTGGTGGTTTCTCCTTGATTACACTATTGTATTCAGCTTTAGATAATTGATTGTGGACCAGAACTGCTTCAGCTTGAGTTAATTCTCCAATTCCACTCATGGCTCCTTGTTTGGGTTTCTTGTAGATGGATTGAGGCTGCTGCAAATCCGGCGGCTTTTCTTTGATTGCCAATATGTTTAGTGCACCTTCAGCTTTCCTCACGTTGTCATGTATATGGAGTGGAACCTTGAATGTTCCTTTTCTTGATGTTACTTCTCCTAAGTAGTTAGCTCATGTTCCCTTTTTAGCACTCATGGAATAGAACAAATGCATTATACTAGAACAAGAGAATTCAAAAACACAATCCTTCAAGATTGGTTTGCAAAGCTCATTGAACGGATTTGATTCATGTAACTCATATAAAGTTTTAACCAATGCATTTTCGGTTTTAGTTCTAAACAGCTCTAATGCGTTGCTACACAAAGAAACTCTCAAAGAAGAGTTAAATTCAAGAAACTCATAAAACATAAAACTTCTTGGCTTAAAGAGCTTTTCAAGTGTTGGTGTTTCAAAAGTTGGAATCAATTTGTCAAAAACAGATTTTGAAACACGAAATTCTTTCACTTTTTCCAAACCAAATCGTTTTTCATCTTGAGCAAAAATCAAAACAAACAAATTAGGCGTTTTGTTAACTAAATCAATTTCCTTACAGTGCTTTTGATGGCGCTCATTTGACTCAAGGGTTGGTTCAATAACAAAGATAGTTTGTTGCTCCAAATTAGTAACAATCGATGGCAAACTCCTTTGAACTTCTTTCTGAGATTTTTCTTCAAGAACCTGTGAAAAACAAAATGTACTACTCGGTTGCACCGGTTTGGAAAGGATCAGTTTATCACAAGCTTGATCAATTTCAAGCACAAAATCAGGTTTCTCAAAAAGATCACACATATCTTTCACAAATTCAGAAGGAAGAGGAAGCTTAGCTTTTTCTGA